CTGATTTAATTCATGTGTAACCCATCTATCCAGCTTCTTTACTTTTCCCATTTGTTTCAAATGGCCCAATATTGTTGGAATAGTAATGTCAAACCTTGCTGCTAATTCACGCATAGGTTGAGATGGATTCACTACCACTATAGCTTTGAGCTCATCCACCATTATCCACCATTATCTCACGTCGTCCATGTGGCTCCTTTTTGAGATTAAAATCACCAGAATGGAACTTCTCGAACCATAGACGTACTATGCATTCATTAGCCACATCCATCCCAAACACTTGGTTGGTATTTCCAGCTGTCTGTGCTGCGTTGGTTCCACAGTGGAATTCATATTTGAAAGTAACAAATTTTTTACTTATCCACGGTTTCACAAAAATTGCTCTAAAAAAATATGAAAGTGGCCGGGCACGGTGGCTCACGCCTGTAATCCTAGCTCTCTGGGAAGCTGAGGTGGGCGGATCGTTTGAGCTCAGGAGTTTGAAACGAACCTAGCAAGACGAGACCTCCGTCTCTACTATAATAAAAATAATTGGCCAACTAATATATATAGAAAAAATTAGCTGGGCATGGTGGTGCATCCTGTAGTTCCAGCTACTTGGAGCTGAGGCAGGAGGATTGCTTGAACCCAGGAGTTTGAGGTTGCTGTGAGCTAGGCTGATGCCATGGCACTCACTCTAGCCTGGGCAACAAAGCAAGACCTGTCTCAAAAAAAAAATATGAAGATAATCAGAAGCCAAAACATGTGTTTGAAAGACTGAGGATGTACCTTCACAATAAACTAAAAGAAGTGTCAAAGTGAAATCAAGACATCAACTGTCAAACTTAGTACTTAAGGAAATTGAACATTTCATACTTAATAACCTAAATAGATTAGCGCTATTGAACACCACTTTTGTTGATGATGGAAATATCTTAAATCTGTGCTATAAATAATGTAGCCACTTGCAATCTATGGCTATGAGCATCTGAAATGTGAGGCAACTGAGGAATGAATTTGTAATTTTAATTCAATTAGCCATAGAGATTAGAGTCACTGAGAAACCTTGACAGGATTCTCATTAGGTTTGAGCAAGTTCCAAGAACTGTTAAGACCAAAGCTCCCCCTGGTGAATACAATGCCTAAGTGCACAAAATTTTTCGGCTTGGAATTTCGTAGTTGCATAAAGCGAGTTTAGTTTTCTAACTCAAGAGTTTATAGAAGAAGATGAGATATGTCTCATCCCCATTATTCTCAAACAGCTGAGAGGATCCATCTCATTATCAGGGGTGGCAAAACACCAATAAGATTTATGTGGTATATATAATATATAATTATTATATTTTTTTTTATTTTTGAGCAGGTCTCACTCTGTTCCTTGGGCTAGAGTGCAGTGGCCTCATCGTTGCCCACAGCAACTTCAAACTCCTGGGCTAGAGCAATGCTCTTGCCTGCGCCTTCTGAGTAACTGGGACCACAGGGGCGTGCCAACACACCCAGCTAATGTTTTCCATTTTTTGTAGAGTCAGGGTCTCACTGTGTTGCTCAGGCTAGTCTCAAACTCCTGGTCTCAAATGATCCTCTAGCCTCAGCCTCCCAAAGTGCCAGGATTACAGGCATGAGCCACGTGCCTGGACAGAACACATTTTTAATGAAAGAAACAGATAGGAAGAGACTAGAAAAATAAACTCAGGTATACAAAATAAGATACCAAGACCAAAAATCCTGGGATGAGTGGTGATTTCTTTGAGCAAAGCCTAGATATCATTAATTGATAACTGTAAACAGGGCAGTTTCAACAACTTGAGTGTTGGAAGTGGAACCTAGAAAGTGGATGATCCTACTTAAGGATTTAGTGGTTGAAACAGGAAAATTTTAAATGAATTAAATGAAAGAACCATGAACAATGAAGTAGAAGGGGGTCTCAAAGAGACTTTGGGACAATGTATTCCTAAGACTTGTCTCAACTGAATTTGCTTGCTTCCTGACAGTATACTAAGTTGACTAGCCTCTGAGTTGCATTAGGACATTCATTCCCAAAGTTATAGGTTTTTAAAAATCAAAGTAATTTTCCCCCTAATGATTAGTTGGCATTGCCTTACTGTATGTTTCACTTATCACATCACAAATTATAAACTATTTCCAAGAATACTGATGAAAAGTGTATTGCTGGTGGAAAAAATAATGTAAAAAAAGAGGCAAAAGGCCAGTGTAATAGAATGAAAAAGACATAACTCCCTACCCAGATTTGAATTCTGGCTCTCATACTTGGGCAAGCTTAAAGTCTTCTTTTCTTTAAGTGTAGAATATCCACTCTCTCTCTGAAGTATGGTTTTAAGGATTAAATAAACTGCCTACAATGCCTAACATATAGCAGGCATTTACATGTTCTCTTCTTTTTTTTTTTTTTTTTGAGACAGAGTCTCGCTTGTTGCCCAGGCTAGAGTGAGTGCCGTGGCGTCAGCCTAGCTCACAGCAACCTCAAACTCCTGGCTCAAGCAATCCTGCTGCCTCAGCCTCCCAAGTAGCTGGGACTACAGGCATGCGCCACCATGCCCGGCTAATTTTATATATATATTAGTTGGCCAATTAATTTCTTTCTATTTATAGTAGAGACGGGGTCTCGCTCTTGCTCAGGCTGGTTTCGAACTCCTGACCTCGAGCAATCCGCCCGCCTCAGCCTCCCAGAGTGCTAGGATTACAGGCGTGAGCCACCGCGCCCGGCTATGTTCTCTTCTTTTTCCCAGTGTCCAATTTTTAGACATCTCTCTCACAGATAATCCATGATGGAGCAGAATGGGCTGAATCCAATGCCATTATAGGTATAGTCTAGGGATTGAGAATGAACTTCTATCATCATGAAAAGCCTACCTCCATCTAGACAGATCCTGTATTCCCATGTCCAACAAATCATATACCAAATTTTTAACAGTGATCACCCTGTAAAGTGATAGCTGCAATGGCAGTCTTGAGGGAGGGGACTTTTACATTTACTTTATACGCATACATAGTATGAACAATTAAAAAAAATAAACATATAATTTTTAAAGATTAAGCTAAAAAAGAATCACTGCTTCATTCACAAAAGTAATTAGGGAAGAGTTAAAGATTCCAAAGATGAAATATTTGAAGGAAAAATTTTCCCCTCTTTAACCCTCTGGGAATAAGAGAGAGATCTGGTGTAGGAAAATGGAAGGAGGGGAGAACCTTTTGTTGGGCACCTTCTAGCTAGACTTCATCACTTATTAATATTTTTTCACTCTCATGAAAGATTTTAGCACTCTCATCTGATAAGAAAATCTCCAAAGACTTCCTGTAGCTTTTGACCTGTAATTCCTTTTAAAAGGGAATTATAAGTTATGACTCATTTTATTAATCTACAAAACTGCCAAGTGCGCCTACAGTGAGATCTCTATACATAACAATGTTGGTGGTCTGCTGGTATTTTTTCTGCATGCCAGAACACTCAACTGTTACGTAATCTAGTGACATAATCTCTGAATACAGATATAGGAGATATTAAAGTCTTGGTCTATAACTGAAGGAGGGTAGAAAAAGAACCTGTGTGATAGAGATAATGCCAGAGCAAGTGAAAGCAGACAAATGCAAGGGTGACTATACATCACAGAGAAAAAAACATGAGCAAAAAAGGCTTTATGAAGTAGAGAGACAAAATGTCAGCACATGCTTCCTTTGCACAAAATTGCCAGGAATAGCATAGGATGCACACAGATGCTTCAACTAACTTCTTTAAATTTTCTTAAAAAATGTTCCAAAAGTACTTAAAAAGAATTCTGAAAAGATTACAATGTGATATCTAAGCAAAAAGATACATGCACATAATATACTTCACTAATCTTGGGGTAAAATTTACTGGATAGGTCAAAGAAGCATTTTTTTAATTAAGAAACTTGATATTTTCCAAGTTTTATATGAAATTTTCAAAATTGACTTTTCCCAAATGTGTAAGTCTAGATACATGTATTGAAACACTTATTTCAACCAAGCCTTTGGGTCCTTGTCTCATGTTTTCCATATAGTCTGAAAATTAACAACAAATCTTCATAAATTTGTACTACTGAAATTTTTTTTTTTAGTTTTTATGAAATATAAATAGCCTTTTTTTCTTTAACTGGTATTTTAAAGGAAACTTAGAGGCAGTTTCTGTTTGCCACTCCACAGCTTACAGCCACATACTTATCACCTGGCCAGATTCTCTTAAGTAGTCTATTCAATACCTTACCCAAAGTAGACTTTCCCCTCTCCCAGGTCCAGACTGTTTACCTGGATCTCGACTCCCAGGTCACCTGGGTCTGGCCTACACCTGTGGTATGTATTTTATAACCTACAGTCATAGGTTTCTACCAGCAATCCCAATATTTTTGCCTTGTTATCTAATCTGCTATTGCCCACACAAACCACTAAAATCACTCTGTTCTTTCCAAGGGTTTTAGAAAGAAGATTTTTTTGTTTTTGAGACACAGTCTCACTTCATTGTCCAGGCTAGAATGAGTGCCGTGGCGTCAGCCTAACTCACAGCAACCTCAAACTCCTGGGCTCAAGCAATCCTCCTGCCTCAGCCTACCAAGTAGCTGGGACTACAGGCATGCGCCACCATGCCCGGCTGATTTTTTCTATATGTATTATTTGGCCATCTTTCTATTTATAGTAGAGACGGGGTCTCACTCTTGCTCAGGCTGGTCTCGAACTCCTGACCTCGAGCAATCTGCCCGCCTCAGCCTCCCAGAGTGCTAGGATTACAGGCGTGAGCCACCGCGCCCCGGCCTTAGAAAGAAGATTTTTGAGGCACTCATTCAAGTTCCCTTGCTTGGTGGTGTTTTCCAGTTGCCAAATGGCTTCCACTGTGATCCTGAACAAGGAAGTGACAAACTGGGACAAGGGTCAAGACATCTTCCCCCTCCCCTTGGCAGCTGTACAGCTAGAATGAAACTGCCTAATGGCTAAGCACCTAGTCGCATAAATGTCTTGTCTAAAAATAAAAGCAAAATACACATTTCTTAGTTTTTTTGCATATATTTACAATATAAATACTAATTTGTTTTCAAAGTACATATTCTTTTAACAATTTGAGAAAGTTAACTAGCATAGGACAGCAATTTAATGTAAAGCCTCTATAGTAGGGATTAAGGAAAAATAGAATTGTTTTTGGGATAAGGAATCCTAGAAGGAATATGAACGGGCATGATGATCTGAACTTGCAAGCGGAATGTGAAGCAGCTTAGTCCACACCTTGCACTGCTAATACAGCATGTTAAAGGACTACTATGTGAGATAGCAACCTGGATGGGGTGTTGTAAAAACTAAACTTGAAATATGTAAAAAATACACATGCTTGCATAGTGCGATAATTTTAAAGAAGCTCAACATTTCATTCTCATTTTCAATAACTTAAATGAATAGCACTTAAAACACATCACACAAAATTAAAGACTTGTGCATATATTTCAGATTTCAACGTTAATGTCAAAAATACATAGTATGATTTTACATAGGATTTGTGCTACATTAGAACACTACAGACAAACATCACTTGAGTATTAAGGAAAACATTAAATATTAAATAACTGAGAAATAAAACATGTAAACACTAATCTAACGGGGGGTGGGGGGTGGTATGCTATTGCAACATGTCCAATGAAGTGGTTTCAACAGTACAAAAAGGATTAGGACATGAGTGTTTCCAGTCTACTTGGAATACGTAGATCTCATTTCAGGAATCCTTTAATAAAAACTGGTCCAGGATAACAGGAGTGGGTCCACTCTCCTGATTGTTAATTTGGTACACTCTATTCTATGCTAATTTTTACTTGCAAACTTGAGTACTGAGCAAATACTTTAAATAGTCACTCCTTATCAACATCGTGGTGAAAACTGAGGGTTTGTTGGCGATTCAGTATAGGATTTGAGTTCATATGCAGCACCGCTATCGACCTCCATTGACTTTCTAGAGAACAGGAGCCGTACATCTCTATGGAGGTAGATCTTTCCAGATTTAGAACTCTGGAACCTAAACAAATAAACAAAAAGATGGATAATTTTAGAGAATAAGTCTTTAAAGCAAACAAATGTGAGTACTTAAAATTTGAAAGAAGCACTAATCTTGCTATAATATTAGGTTAACACTAACTCTTTAACATGATATTTAAGGTCTTAGATTGCCAAAGTACGTGCTTTTCTTTAAACTGCCTCTCCCTTACTATTCTCCATACTCTTTTCCCCTCTTACAATGCCTGAAATGCTTATTCCAGTAAATCTGAGTTTTAAATACAATCTTACTTTTCCTCCCTGACCCCCATAGCACATGCACTTTTCCTCATCTACAGGGTCAAGTTTCAGTTCATATCAGCCAATTATACTACATTTGGGCTTTGCAGCCCTAGCAGCTTCTGGCTACACAGACTGACCTATATCATACAACTTAGCCTCCCATGATTTTGGTTAGATTAAAATGGATTCTACCCATGACAAATCACCATAGGAAATGAAATTCTGAGGACCTCACAGGGTAAGAAAAAAGTGCTATCATTTGCAGTGGCTAGCTAAATAAAACCCAGCCATTGTCAAAAGAGAAAAGTTAGCAGTGAAATGAAAATGGCTATCAAAACTATGTATGAAACTGTTTCTATCTCCTGCTAAAATCTGCAGCACAGTACAGGGGGCTGGAGTCTTTAATCTCATAAATTTACCTGGCAGAAATACAAACACTATGCATTGCTAATTTCTCTTTGTTTTTCCCTCAGTGTAACATAAATACTCTGGGTTTGTGGATATTACTCCTTTTTAATTCATTCATTGATTTATTATTTTTTTTGGTCCAACATTTGGTGCATATGTGGATATTATTCCTAAACTAGCTGAAAGATCTGGCCGTCAGTGCTATCTGTTAGAGCAAACCTCTAAATGACTCACTCTTCCCTTTTCTCTCAAGTTTTTCACCTTCCCAATTTGAAGGAGGACATGCTTTGGGAAGTATACTATTTTTCACAAATAGATTTCTTTATTGCATTTAAAATATCTAGTCATTATATGAAGATTACAAAAGCTGAGGTAGTTTACTTTTACTCTGGCTAATGCTGGTTACATATGGCCATGGTTGTTAAACTTCAAGAGGAATGGTGTCAAATGGAAGTTTAACCAGAAACAGTTGAATATTTTTCTAGGTTGAGCTGGGAGGTATTCTTATAGTCTGCTGTTTCATACCATTTCTCTTTTAAAAGTTTTCCAAGTCTGTTTTTAGTATATTTTTCATTGCCCCAATCTGTGTTAACATTTCCCATGAAGGCTCATGTTAGACAGTGTCAGGTTGGGTTTAAATACATTGTGTTGGTTGAACATATCTTTTGGGTGCAGAACAACAGTCAGAAGACTAAGATGAGAGAACCAAGTAGACAATGCTTTAAGGGGAACAATTATCTTAATAGACTTTTTCATGCATGTGACTTGAGTACACAGCTCACTCCTTATTCACACTAGATCACCACTGCAAGGCAGATATACTGAAAGACAGCTGGTGGTCCCCATCAGTAACAGGTTAATGAGGTCCTCTGCCCAATCCTGGATTAAAGAGGACTCCTCCTGATGAAGAGCACATCTTACTGTAAGGTTAGTCAAAGATGAATGTCACTGATGGGATTGAGGACTTTCTATAGAAGGGACCAGAAAACTACTAGAAATAGAGTTACAGGCAAAAGGCTACTGAGCCCTCTTTTAAACCAATCATTTGCTCATTGATCCTGAGCGCTCAACTATGATTGCAGGGCTGAAAATCTTACCCTAGGATGCTGGATCCCAAAGGCAAACAAATGACTTCTCACAACCTAGAACCATCAGCTGGGTAGTAAACATTAGAGGAAAAGGTATTTCTGATGGAAGCACTAGAATATAAGCTCTGAGAGAAGAGATTTTGTCACTGTTGTTTCCTTAGTGTATAGAAGCATGCCTGGCACATAAATATTGAACAAGTAAATAAAGTTTATGAACTTCCCTTACCAATATGGCTATTGAGTGCTTAAAATGTGGCTAGTTCAAATCAATTTGTGTTCTAAGTGTAAAATATATACTTGATTTCAAAGATTTAGTAAAAAGATCTCATTGATAATTATTATATTGATTATATATTCAAATGATAACATTTGGATAGGCTGGGTTAAATAGAAGATATTAATCTTACCTGCTTATTATTGCTTTTTTTTAGTGTGGCTACTGAAAAATATAGAACTATACATAAGGCTCATATTACATTTTTTATTGAATAGCACTGGTTTAGAAAATGCTGCCCTAGATACATTAGCACTTGTCTTGACATAAAGTGTTTTACATGAAACAACTATAAATGAAAAGTCCCCCAGTTCAACCAGTAATAACTGCAGGAAGGTATGCCATGTGCTTTCTGCGTCGTGGCACATCATCAAGAGTTCCCAAGCTAAACAAAGTCCAAGGGGTACTTATTTAGTCAGAGTCACAGTGTAAAAAAATAAACTAAAAATTTTAAAGTTGTTCTAAAGTAACATTTTTTAATATTCATTTGAAACAATACCTCAGATGTATGAGGTAGCGTAATAACCGTTCTTCTGTATGTCGTATGTTCTCTTTATTAACACTTCTCTTCATTTCTTGTTTAACAGGTACAGAAAAAGTTCTTTGTCGTAGGAATGTCTGATGATTGGCTGGCATATGTCGTAAGTCATATATCACAACAAACATCTTCACCACGGTCTTATTAGGATTAAATAAGGTCTGAAGAAACAATATAGAAATTATTCTTTAAATATCGTGATTTGTTGATGTGACTCAGAATGATTATGTCAATAATGAAAACGTCTTTTTTTATAATAATAAGGTAATCCCACTTGATATAATTCAGTTTCAGGGACTAAAGTTAATAAAATTTCAAAAGTTTAAAAACAATATTCAGTTTTTTAAAAAGGTTCAATTTGATTTATTTCACAATATAAAATCCTATAATGAATCGAAATCCTTAGTCATAAATTTCATATTAATAGACAATATGTACCTTTATTCCTTGTTCAGATTTTAAGAAATAGCTCCACTAGTTTTAGCAAAATACACTGAGTTAAAATATTCCAGTTCAATTATTTTAAATATTAGCTTAACTTAGAGTATCAACTGCAAAATTCTCAAAATAGAGTATTATATTTTTCTCACATTTTGTTGTTTTAGGTACATATGGTTATTGTAAAATTAAAAATAGGTGCTCAAAGAAGAGACTTTTTCCTATTGGAAAACTCTTCCAAATTTAGAAAATAAAGCTCACTATTATTAGACCTAAAATAGGTTAAATAATACTTCCTTTTCTCACACTTGGAATCATTTCCAAATTTGCAGCAACATTAGGTTTTTTAAAAAAATCATCAACGTCATTATAGACCAAAGTATGTATCCTTATTAAAGACTAAATTGAATTTAATTGGTACTTGGCTATGAATAATTGAAGAAGCATTATTTTGAAAAGTACTAATTATTAAACAAAACCCCAAGCTGCTGATCTGACTTTAACCAAATTACCAACACATCAATAGGTAACTTGGTGCCCATGCTTTCAGAAGCTCATCCGTGGCACTGGACATCACTCACTGAATCAAAATGAGAAATATATCAATATTATGATCCAATTTTTGAAATCTAGTGAGTCTTAAGATCAAGGCAAATACATTCAACAACCACAAACTAACAAGCCAGGAGTTCAACCCATGTTTATACATAGTTAAACTATATAAGGAATGAAAGACATACCCAAATTTCATATTTAAAATTAACCATTAGAGTTGGCAGTCTCCAAATAAGAGGTGAAGGTGCTGCCTCTGGGTTTATGCCTCATTAATATGACAACTGACAGCTAGCTTTCCAGTGACCCACACTATCTCATGAGCTACATAGCCAAGGGCAAGAGGACAGAACATCATCACTCCTTTAGTTCATGAACTCTATTTGCCATGAAAATCGTATTTTAATATGCAATGATTATTCCTTAGTAAAATCTGTATCTATATTGCAATATATATGCACACATTGCATAGTACTACGTTTCACTCCTGTGTGATATGAAATAAACAAATGTACAGACTCTTTGCAGTATTGGAACAATGATGATGAGTAAAAGTGATCTGACAATGCACTGAAGACATTAAGGCCCAAAGGTCATAAAAATGCTTCTTAGATTAGACCAGATCCTGCATGTGAGAAATGAGCCTCAACTGGGCTCTTTTTCAGCCTGCAAACTCTGTAACAGACTTGAGGGCTTGCAGGATTATCCTGGGTCACACTTGGAGATGAACTCAATTACAAACTGACCTTGAGATCAAATTATTCTTCTGAGAACCCTAGGCCAGGGATGACAAAGGACTGCTTTGGATTAGAAGGGTTCTCTTGAGCCAAAATAAACAATGCCTAGACCTTTTCAGATGCCTTCTCTGCCCTGATGTCTGTCAGACTACATTATCTGCTTTATGTAATCATCTCATCAGATCAATTTTAGAAATTATTACAGTAGGGATAATATAATTTTGATTCCCAAGTTTTCCTGCCAAAGCAATACTAGCATTGGGATATCCTTTGAAATATGTCAATCTCAATCTGGCTGATATTAAATAAAAGGCATTGGTAATGTTAGGTTCTAGTTATATTGAAAATAGCTCTATTTAAGTTATGCAAACTGTCATATACTAGTTTTCTAAAGTATTCACCTTGATTAGCTTATTAATGCTTTCCTTTTATGGAGGTCCCCAAATGGTCATTCCTGGGGCAGAGCAGGGAAACTCCAAACAAAGCTGCAGCCCCACTGTTACTTACCAAAGTTGTTGCAGCAGCAGTAGCAGGAGAAAGGGCTAAGTTCTATATGTATGTGAGAGAATGATTATTGCAATTGTAGGCTATAAAACACATACCACTTGTATTGTTCCTGAAGGAGGTACTCGATAACCCCTTTTACCAAGGGACTCTAAAGTAATCACACCCTTGAAATAAAAGAAGACAAATTGAGTACAACTGATTCATATGTATATAAAAGACTAAAATAACTCATGTAATTATTAAAATTTCAGAATTCGATTTCTATCGAAAAACATTCAAATTTAATTTAATAGAGATACATTCTGCGTTTCCACCCCCAAGGAAACAATTTACTGTTCTTCCTAGGGATGTCGCAATAAATAATATAACATCAATGGCCACAGTGCTTGAAATTTCTAATAAGATATAAAAGAGGTTACTAATCAAAAGGAAATAAAGGGAGGTTATAAGATTATTTTCATATATCTTGGGGGAAGAGGGGAAATGAAGAAATGAAATTTATTGGTCTTTGGGCATGTAAAAAATCACAAGTGTGAAAAAGTCTAAGTCTTAGCCAAAAATTAAGTCCATTCTTCAGTCAGGGAGTTAAGTTACATATCTGAATTTCTGACTAGAAAGAGAAAAAATAGAAAGGGAATTTGGGAGCCTATGGTTCCTGCCTGGTAATTACTTTATGGGAGAAGATGTTTAAAACAAAAAGTAGAAAATGAATGTTCAATCAGTAACTTTCAAGACTGTAGTATGTTCTATAGGAAAGCTATAAAACCCCACTTTTCTAGAATTTTGTTTGAAAAATAACTTTATATCATGTTGTGGCTTAATTCAAATCTTATGAATATACTGCCCCCCCCTTTTTGTCATTTACTTGTTAAGGAACCCAAGAATCCAAACGATTCTATATCAGAACACAATGGATTGCATGTCTAAGAGCTAAGATTTGAGCCAAGGTTAAAGCTAAATTAGAATCATTTCATTAAAGCAGTCTAAAAGGGGCTATTAGGAGTCCTCCAGTTTGGTCTGCTACTCAAAGAATGGTCCTCAGGCCACCATCATCACCATCATTTGTGAACTTGTTAGAAATACAGTGTGCCTGGCCTCTCTTCAGACCTATCAAAGCAAATCTACATTTTAAACAAGATTCCCCAGATGATATCATATGTAAACTGAAGTTTGAGAAGCACTGCTCTAATATATTAATATGAAGTAATTTTTCTGATGATGCTTTAATCACTGCAAAGGTCCAAACAATGAGGAAAAAGTACAAATTAAAACAAGGTAAGTTCAATTAAATGTGTGGAAACTTCTTAATAAATAGGGTGGCCAAATGACTACAGATGGTGATTTAATGCTTAACACCTTTAAAAAAGTGAATGCTGAGTTATTTGTTTTAACTGGGCTAATACTTTTGAGTAGTTAAGGTAATTAAGTAGAATAAGTGCATGTTCTACATTTCATGATTCCATCACTATACAGTGTACATGTCAAACTTATTTAAGAGTAAATAAAGAACAGGACTGTCCTATAAATATCTCTGTTGGATTTGTAAATTGGAAGGTAAAAAGAAGTGGACAAAGCTAAAAGGAAGGGCCAGACTCTGACATATATATGAATCCTTTAGCTCCAAGTGAACAACACTTCACATCAGATTATTAAATTAACACATTAAAATTGGGAAATGTTCATGGAAATGGGCACTGAGAAGACATGTGGTTCTTGACAAATCTGATTCATCAGATGGGTCATTTAAAGCATGAAAACACCATATTAACAAACTGTGCCCCCAACCAAAACAGTAATGAAGCTTTAATAATTTCTTTCTCACGATCTGCTCTACATGTCTAACTACTGAGGTACGAGATATACCATTAGTTAGTTTCCTATTTGAGGAGAGTGTGGATATTTACTATACATGAAAAATGATATGGCATATTATACCCCTCTTCTTCCTAGTTCCAGAAAGAAAAAGTATAACATACTGAAATAATAGCTGCCTTTATAATCATACAACTACAGGTAATACATTACTGGTCTTCCTTGCCAGTCATTCACACCTCCCCCCATACATACAGTAAAACTGGCAAGGCAAAAACTACTACCAAGTCTATACTTATCTACTTTAATACATATAATTCTAATAGCTTTTAAGAACACAGTAGTAGCTAAATCAATTTATAAAGGAAAAATATAGATTTTCGAAAAATCTTTAAGACAATATTTTAAAACAACAATTTCTAAGCAATATAAGATCAATAGCATTGACAAGATAGGAATTTTAGAAAGGGACTGGGAAATTATTTGGAATTTTATTATTATTAAATTTATCATTTATTATTTTAATAGACCAGCATATTAATATTTATGCCTAGAAAAGGCTACTAATTTAACATAAGAAGAAAAATACATTTTCTTCTGGTATTTTAAAGTAGAAATAGTAAGGTTAAGATAAACTAAGTCTGGTCAAAAGCTTACACAGAAACTCCTCAAATTATTATGGAATAGAGAATATGCAAAAACAAGTGGAAAAGAAAGAAGTATATTTTGATCTGGTTGATTACAAATGGATGGAAATCATACATGGTCTTGTTAATATGAGAATAATGCAAGTTATCCATAAATTTGCCTCTGGCACAACTGCTTTAGATATTTCTGCCTGTTTTCACCATGTAATAGTTTCTAAACAGCTAAGAACTGTCAAAAACACTTGGAAAACATTTTTTTACCACTGGTTCCCAATTGGAGAGAGAGAATTTTTTACAGCTTTGAGTTAATCTTTAAGGAATTATTTCATGAAAAGTCCCATATGACCTCTACACCACAAAGAATTTTCTGTGGTAAACTTTACCTTTGTGAGTCATTTGTATAATTTGTGATGAGAGGTCCCAAAGTTATTATTAGAGAAACAAGGTTATTATTAGAATTAACAAATAGAAGTTTTATGTCTCAGTTCTTACTGGTCTTTGATATGTATTATCTTATTAAAACATGATCGATCCTTTCAAAACTACCAAAACAAATATTTTCTTAAAAACAAAATTAATTTTATTAATTTACGGTAGGCAAAATTTATGGTCTAAGATTTGGAATGGGTCACTTGCAAAGAGAATCCATTCCTAATAAGAGAAAAAAAATATAAGGTATAGTTGATTGAAGAATGGGGGGGGGGAGTGGGCAATATATGTAACCTTAATACTTGTACCCCCATAATATGCTAAAAAAGAAGAAGAAGAAGAAGAATACTATCAGAGAAAGGAAAGGATTCTTAAAAGGATAGATTAACAACCCAGCAACCTGATTTATACCCTTTCTAATATCTATTCAAATATCTATTCAAAGTCTATGATAACCTGTGCATACTCCAATACTTTCTAGAGTGACAAAATGTTTTATTTCCTAATCCTTCTTTTTTAAGATGTCAACCAAGGTCAAAGATTGATACTGTTTTACATTTTTTGTTGTTGTTGTTTTACATTTTTAATGCATAGTTCAAATTACTCTTTGTTCATGAATCGTACTCAAAAGTATTTATTTGACCTGATTTTCAGCCAGTATTACCCTTTTATCTCATTTCTAAGCCATCCTAATGGCCCAACAGGGACTCTGTTCACTAATGAAAGATCACAGTATTTTAGACCTTATCTTTCCATTCTCGATTATATGTGGCAATAGAATGTGTGAAACTGATGGCATTCTGGATATCCTAGTAAAGCAAAATAGGCATCTTTATAGCTATATTCTAATATTTTTAGTATCCTAGTGTGATATACATTTATTCTGGTACTAAACTTATCTCAGTTCTACTTTCCAAAATTAGCAGTTATTGTCCAAAATTAGCAGTTTTTTTCAAAATGATTCTGGAAAAGTGGGTACATCTTTTTATGTTAAATGAATAATAGGAAGTATATGAAATAATTGGGCAGGTCTGTGAAGGAAGGGACTCTGCTTTTTATAATAACCAATGCTGTACATCTTTCATGATTATGATCCACGTAAGTATAAATATTGTTGGGGAAAAAAAACCTTGAATAAATGAGCAGACACCACTATGCTTTTTCTATCAAAGTGTAAAACACTGATCAGGTTCTTACTAAAAGCTTTACCCTTAGAATGGAGTAAACCTAAACACCCTTCCTTGAGTAAGCAGGGCCAATAATAAGTAGGCCATATTTCAGACCTTAAAAAGTATAGCTTCCTTCCTTCTCTATTACTTCTCAATTATGTAGATGCCCCTTTTCACAGCTTTTATTAATAACAAAAGACATTGTTATTATGTCCTTGAAAACCTAGAAGGTGGTGGAGAAGGGTGTTAGGAGAGGAAGCAGCTGGGTCAGGTGGTAATTTCAAATAGCAAGACCAGGTTATACAGTTCACTGCCTATAGTGATTTGTATTTCTCGAAAGTAAGACCTAACATGAAGACCCAGATTTGATTCCATATTTGATACCATCACTGTAAACTGTTTTACAAATGTGCATTGCTAGCCACTTCCTTCTGTCTTTTGGAAAAGGGCTGATGATACTAATCATACACCTGGTCTCAGTATCATTTTTGCAGTTAAAAGCTTACTTTTTATCTGTAATTCATTGGAATAAAAAATGGGAAAGGTGAAATCATAGATCTACCTTAAAGCTCAAGACTGTGCTCTAATGAAACTCAGCCATCTTACTCTCCATTAAGACATTAGCTCAAGTCTGAAATAGCTAGTATTCTAAAGAACTGAAGGATTAGAAAAGAATGGGCCCAAACAAACCTAACATGAGAAAGGGGAGAGAAAGGGCCTCAAAAGCCTTAGGTCACCAAATCTTTAACCTAAACTCTACTGAGGTAATCACATGGGAAGATAACCCTTGTAGACTGGAGTGCACAGTAAGAACTGAGAATCTGTGTGAACAGAGCAAGATGAAATTATAGTGTCACTAAAAATGACTTTGTATCATTTTTTCAAATCAAATAGAAACAAGTAAATTTTCAGCACCATCATTAGATGCAAAAGAGGTTATCTGTTAATTGAGCTAGCTAAGAGAGAAGTTGTGAGACAATATTTTAGCATATTAGTTTGTATGCAGCCTTCAGTTTTCTCTTAGGAAATGATTTATACTTTCAAGCATTACATCAAAGCACTTAAAGACATTTGTGATTAACTTGGTTGATTTGGCAGAAAAAGACAATTTAAAAAATACTTGCCATATAAGGAGAGGGAGCATTATCATCTGAAACACTGTAGAATGACACTTCAACTGGAAGAGTCAAATGTGTGGGGCAAAAAACACCACTTGCCCCTACCTCAGCAGTAAAACCATCAACAATGCCGAGGGGATCTAAACGATAGTTCAAGACAGATTCCTGGAAGACAAAATAATTTTTAAAAAATCAATTAGAAAATTAATCCTTGTATTTCTATGTAAAGAAATGTATTATTAATACTATACTTTCAGGCACTAGAAAAGTGGTTGTTACCATTGCCAGATCTTCATTTCTGCTGTACAACTGACTTGAAACCAACCCAATCTCCCATTAATCTTTCTCTTACTAGTCTATCCCACACTGAACTCTCCTGGAACTTCACCATTAGTTAGACCTAATTTTTCTTTCTTTTTTATTTTGGCAAGGCCCATCACTTAAGAAAGACTTGCTTGTTATTTTACATCTTTAAATAAAAACTATCCTCTACTGGAAAAGGTATTATTTACCCCTCAAAAAGTGCCTATAGGGAGCATAGAGAAGCACCTGAAAACCTAATAGGTCATATACAGAAGTTCCATTAAAAGATGACGCCAAGCACTTACAACTTTAAGAAATAATTGTCTCTCTAAAAAAATGTTATACATTATATGTGTTTTATTGTTTAGTTTAACTTAAAATAATCCCAGCATTTTTTTTTTTTTTTTTTGAGGCAGAGTCACACTCTGTCACCTAAGCTAGAGTGCAGTGGTGTCATCATAGCTTACTACAACCTCAAACTCCAGCTGGGACTACAAGCATGTGCCACCACACTCAGCTAAGTTTTCTACTTTTTGTAGAGATGGACCTCACTCTTGCTCAGGCTGGTCTTGAACTCCTGGCTTCGAGCAATCCTCCCACCTTGGCCTCCCATAGGGCTAGGATTACAGGTGTGAGCCACCACGCCAGGCCAATCCCAGCACTTTTCAAACTTTTCCAAGCTTTCTCTGATATACATATATCAACACATACATGTATACACCATGAAATGTGAGTAGCATTCTTTTGATTAAGTAATTTATTGAAGAGAAATGCTGCAAACCTTCATGATTTTAATAGTCTGTGTGGTCTAAATTGGAAATAGTGACATATCAGCAATTCTAGTCTCCTTGTCAAAAAGATGAACAGTACAGGCTTGCATCACAATCAACCTTCTTTATCTCCCTCCTGTCCTGCAATGAATCCAATCCATAGCCTGTTGATTCCACCTCTCAGTCTTATGGCTTCTTCATCTCTATCCCCATCGCCACTATGCTAGCGACCTGGGTGATCCTCACAAACTCTCTTCTGAACAAATGCAACATCTTCTAGTTAGACTTTCCATCTCTAGTGTATTTTCTCAACTACTGCCAGAGTTCTTTTTCATTTATTAAAAAAATTCTGCCGGGCTCGGTGGCTCACGCCTGTAATCCTAGCTCTCTGGGAGGCTGAGGCGGGCGGATTGCTCGAGGTCAGGAGTTCGAAACCAGCCTGAGCAAGAGCGAGACCCCGTCTCTACTATAAATAGAAAGAAATTAATTGGCCAACTAATATATATACAAAAAATTAGCCGGGCATGGTGGCGAATGCCTGTAGTCCCAGCTACTTGGGAGGCTGAGGCAGGAGGATTGCTTGAGCCCAGGAGTTTGAGGTTGCTGTGAGCTAGGCTGATGCCACGGCACTCACTCTAGCCTGGGCAACAAAGCGAGACTCTGTCTCAAAAAAAAAAAATAAAAAATTCTTGTATCATCTACCATTTAAAAACTTTGTGTTTCCTGCTGTCTGTAGGATGAAGTCATAACTTCACAGTGTAGCATATAAGCCCCACCCTACCTCTCCTGCTTCATCTTGCCCCACTTGTGCACGATCCCATGCTCCAGCCCCAGATGATGCTTTCCAACACTGCCATGCTCTTTTACTACTTTTGCACATGTACTTCCCTGTGTCTAGAATCTCTTGCCACTTCCTACATAAATTTACTTGGCAAATTCCTACTCATCTTTTGTGACCAAGCTCAAGTGACAGTTTCTCAAAGTTTTCCTCAATCCTTCCAGCAGACATAGTAGATACACAAATATTAAGAAGTTTCTATCATAGTGCCTGTTACCTGAGTTTGCAAATTATTTACATGTCTTTCTTCTCCAGTAGACTATAAACTTCTCTAGTATCATTTAGTTTTATATTTATAGCATACAGCACAATACATAGTAGATATTCAACAAATGTTTCCTATATAAGAAACCTATTCCAAAGACAGATAAAATTTTCATAGGAAGAGCATATACAAAAATGTTTATGGATAAGTCAAATGGTCAATATTAGTTGCTAACTTTAAGATAATTCAGATTTTTGTGAATTTAATATACTAGCATATATGCTAGGCCCTACTCAGGGCAACATGACAAGAAAAGGAACTAAAAGGTTTATGGATTACTAAGTAAGAAATAAAACTGTCTCTATTTGTAGAAGACATAATTGTCTATGTAAAATATCCCCAAGAATCTTTTTTAAAAATCTAATAAACGAGTTGAGAATAGTCACAGGCGATTTTTAAAGTATATATACACACACATATATGTACAGATAACCACTCATACGTTAATATATTAGCAATGAACTGGGAATTAATTTTTAAGTATGATTTATAATATCATGAGAAAACATGGAATACTTAGGAATACATCTGCAAAAAGATGTCTAAGACGTGTATGCTAAAAACTATAACACTGGCCTGGCACAGTGGCTCGCGCCTGTAATCCTAGCACTCTGGGAGGCCGAGGCGGGCGGACTGCTCGAGGTCAGGAGTTCGAAACCAGCCTGAGCAAGAGTGAGACCCCGCCTCTACTATAAATAGAAAGAAATTAATTGGCCAACTAATATATATAGAAAAAATGAGCCAGGCATGGTGGCGCATGCCTGTAGTCCCAGCTACTTGGGAGGCTGAGGCAGCAGGATTGCTTGAGCCCAGGAGTTTGAGGTTGCTGTGAGCTAGGCTGATGCCACGTCACTCACTCTAGCCTGGGGAACAAAGGGAGATTCTGTCTCAAAAAAAAAAAACTATAACACTGATGAAAGAAATCAAAGAATATCTAAATAAATGGATTTCATGGATTCAAAGATTTATATTGTTTTTAAATTTTTATTTTTAATTATTATGGATATATAGTAGTTATATATCTTTATAGGATACATTTGATGTTTTGATACAGGCATACAATGTGAATTAATCAAATTAGGGTAATTGGGGTATCCATCACCTCAGGCACTTAATCTTTCAGTTATTTAAAAGTATACCCTAATTTATTGTTGATTATAGTCACTTTGCTGTGCTATCATATATTGTTCATTTTATCTAACTATCTAAATATATTTTTGCACCCATTAACCATCCCCACTTTATCCCCTATTCCCTGCTATCCTTTCCAGCCTCTGGTAACCATCATTCTACTGTCTGTATCCATGAGATCAATGGTTTTTAATATCTAGCTCCCACATATGAGTAAGAACACATGAGATTTGTCTTTCTGTGCTTGGATTATTTCACTTAACATAACGTTCTCCAGGTCCATCCATGTTGTTTCAAATGGCAGGATTTCATTCTTTTTTGTGGCTATATAACATTCCATTGTGTATATGTACCACATTTCTTATCAATTCACCCATTGGTGGACACTTAAGTTGATTCCATATCTTGGTTATTGTGAATAGGGCTGTAATAAACATGGGAGTGCAGCTATCTTTTCGATATACTGAATTCCCATCCTGTGGATATACACCCAGCAGTGGGATTGCGGGATCATATGGTACTTCTATTTTTAGTTTTTTGAGGAACCTCCATACTGTTTTCCATGGTGGTTGCACTAATTTACATTCCCACCAACAATGTGTGAAAGGTTACCCTTTCTTTACATCCTTGCCAGCATTTGTTACTGCCTGTCTTTTTGATAAAAGGAATTTTAACTGGGGTAAGATGATATCTCATTGTAGTTTTGATTTGCATTTCTCTGGTAACTAAAGGTATTGAGCATTTTCTTTATAGACCTATTGGCCATTTGTATATCTTCTTTTGAGAAATGTCTATTCAGATCCTTTACCCATTTTTTAATTGGATTGTTTTATTTTTTCCTATTGAAATGTTGGAGCTCCTTATACATTCTAGTTATAATAATTCTAGTTATTAATCTTATTAAATGGGTAGTTTGCAATATTTTATCCCATGAAAGGCTTTAGATTCTTAAGATGTCAATTTTCCCCAAATTGATCTGTATCAATGCAATCCAAACAAAATCTCAGGAGGCTGTTTTGTAGAAACAGACAAGCTAATTCTAAAATTTATATGAAAAGACAAAGGAACCAGACTAGTTAAAGCAATTTTGAGAAAGAACAATATTAGGACTCATACTTACATGATTTTAAGACTAGAAGATTGAACATCTATATGCATAATAATGAACCTTGACTGTACACCTTGACTGTACAACATCATATGCAAATGTTAACTCAAAATAGATCATGGAAATAATGTAAGAGCTAAAACAAACCTTCAGACAAAAATGTAGAAGAAAATCTTTGTGACCTTGAGTTGGGTCAGTGGTTCTCAACCAGAGGTTGCTATAAGAAGGGGGGTTGTTACTGTAATCAAGTAGGTAGAGGCCAAAGATTCTGTCAAATATCCTACAATGCACAGACAACCCCCCATAAGAAATAATTATCTAGCTCAAATATCAATACTGCCAACGTAAAGAAGCCTTGGGCTAGGCAAAGATTTTTTAACTACAACATCAAAAGATCCATTAAAGAAAATAATAATAAATCAGATACTAACAAAATTAAAATCCTTTGCTTTGTGGAAGACAGCGTGCAAAAATGTAAAGCCAATCTCAGACTTGGAGAAAATATTTGGAAAACCTATGTGATGATACGGCAAGTAAGCACAGAAAAAATGGCTCAAATGACTACTAGGGAAACACAAACTAAAACCATAATAATTAAAATGAAAAAGATTGATCATTACAAACATTGGCAAGGATGTGGAGAAACTAGAACTCATATACTATTGGTGGGAATTAAAAATGGTAACAACCACTTTGGAAAGTAGTTTGGTAGTTGCTTAAGAAGTTAAACATACCACACAGGCATTCCATTCCTAAGCAGTTATCCATGCAAAATAAAAACTGATGTCCACAGAAAAACTCATATACAAATGTTCACAGCAGCTTTGTCACAGCCCCAAACTGGAAACCATCTAAATGTCTGAAATCAAGTGAATGAATAAACTGTGGGATATCTAATAAAAAGGAATGGACTCTTGATACATAGGGCGGTAATCTCAAAATGATGGTGAGTGAAAGAAGACCCCAAACCACCTGGGCAGTATAGTGAAATGCCATCTCTTTAAAAAAATTTTAAAAAGCTAGCAGGGCATAGTGGCATGTGCCTATAGTTCTAACTACTTGGAAGGCTAAGGCAGGAGGATCACTTGTGCCCAGGAGTTCGAGGTTACAATCAGCTATGATCGTGCCACAGCACTCCAGCCTGGGGACAGAGCAAGACCATGTCTCTAAATAAATAAATAGATAGATAGATACAAAATTAAATAAAATTCTAGATGATATATACTATTTTATAGTGACAGAAAGCACTGGAATTCCCTCCTATGGGAAAAATAACTTCTTTTTTACGGTTGTTGGTATTATGTTGGACTGAATTGATAGAAGAGAACCACAGGACAGATGAGTTGAATGGATGATGACAAGGTTTTGCAGTAGAAAACTCTAAGTGGTAGCAAAAAAAAGGTAATACTTAGCCACAGAAATCAGATGGACAGCCTTCTAGTTAGGTGTTACCCTGAGTCAATGTGTTTCCAGACTCTACCTAAAGTCCCACGAATAACATCCAGATTATTAAATCAAGATTTAAATTGATTATGAAATCAAGATTCCCTTCAACAACATTACACGGATGGATAAGACTTTGCCCTGTTTCATGAAACAAGAACAATGTGTGAGTTTAGTAATCTAAGTCATCCCTCTCTTTTTATTGCCACAGAATATCAAATTCCCTAAGTAAATATCTTTTGTAATTTACTGAAGAGAACATCAAATTCATTAGGAGGAGGATTTATGGGTTAAGACAGTCTCAGAAGATCTCTATATTTTTTCCTAAAGTCATTTAAAAAAATGTATGCATATCAGCACAAATAGGACCCTCTGAAAAAAAAACCAGTATACTGATCTTTAACTATCTTCCCTTTCCTAAAGTTCACTTATCAGATTGTTCTTTTTCCCATATAGTACAAAGGTTACAGAGCAGCCGCCCCTCCCAATAGTCTACACAATTTTAATGTGATGATGATGAGGAATAGAAAGTTCTAGATCTCTGATCTCACACCTTAAAAGTGACATGGAAAAGACTTACCACAAAATATCTTTTCTCTTTATTTCCACTAAAACATTGAAAGATAGCTTCAATATTAAAAGTCATAAATAAAGCATACTGCTAATATACCAAACCACAACACCTGTAAAGCTATTTATCATAATTAAAAATAAAAAATTGTAATTATTTTCCTCTGTGCTCTGCGCCCGGCCAATTATAGTAGATTTTTTTTTTTTTTTTTGAGACAGAGTCTCGCTTTGTTGTCCAGGCTAGAGTGAGTGCCGTGGCGTCAGCCTAGCTCACAGCAACCTCAAACTCCTGGGCTTGAGTGATCCTTCTGCCTCAGCCTCCCGAGTAGCTGGGACTACAGGCATGTGCCACCATGCTCGGCTAATTTTTTATATATACATCAGTTGGCCAATTAATTTCTTTCTATTTATAGTAGAGATGGGGTCTCGCTCTTGCTCAGGCTGGTTTTGAACTCCTGACCTTGAGCAATCCGCCCACCTCGGCCTCCCAAGAGCTAGGATTACAGGCGTGAGCCACAGCGCCCGGCCTAAAATCACACTTTTAAAATGTCATTTATAGATTCATGTTTAAGGGTAAGCAATTTCTAATTAAAGACAAGTATTAAAGGCATAGAGAAAGAACAAATGTATAAAAAGAAAAAAAAAAGACAACTAAACCCATAACACACTTGATCCCAAGTAAAAAACATTCATATTAAATGAAGCAGTACACATTATTAGAGATCTTCCACCAGTTTATTTTTTTTTAATAACCATGGCTGGGCATGGTGGCTCATGCCTGTAATCCCAGCACTTTGGGAGGATGAGGCAGGAGGATCACTTGAGACCATCCTGAGCAACACAGTGAGATCTCATCTTTATAAAAAACAAGAAAAATTAGCAGGATCTGACAGCATGTCCCTATCATCCCAGCTTGGGAGGATCACTTGAACCCCAAAGTTTGAGGCTACAGTGAGCTATGACGATGGCACTACCCTCCACTCTGGGCAAGAGAGTGAGACCCTGTCTCTAAAAAAAAAGAATAACCTTATTATTATTTTAGAATAGATTTAGATTTACAAAGATGTTATAAATAAAGTGCAGAGAGCCATTTGATTTTGAAAATCAAATGCCTTAATCATAAAAGGGCTATTAGTCCACTATGACCTTTTCTGATTCCCAGTCCCAATTTTACTAAGAAGCAAAAAGATGTGGTCAAGTCTATCCTTCAGGCTAAAGTAACATACCCTGAATCCAACCTGATTTCACCAAAGTCCTCCATTCTCCTCTACCAGCTACCAAATTCCAGGATGTCACTGCCAACAATTCTCCCAAATTCCTTTTTCATGAATATAAAATAAAATAAAAAGGTAATTTCAAGGCTTTGAAAAATGACAATCAATTCATTTCCCTTTTACAACTGAAGTTAAAGACATAAAAGACAACCTGGACATACGTTAAGAAACTTTAATTCTTAAAATAGTTTCAAAATACATTACCTCAAAATTTCCTAGGAGACTAAGACTTGTTATGGGTGGAGCACTAGAACTCAAAAATGGTTTTTCATGAATACATGGATCATCTTCAATGTTTAAATATGGTCGAGGACTATTAAAAAAACAGAACAGCAAAATAACACATTAACCACAATATTTTCTTATTTTTATAGAAAATTAAATTAGGAGAATTGAAACAATTTTACTCAAATTACATAATACAATTAATGTCACCAAATTTTAGATAAACCTTTTAGTTTAAAATTCCTGGTCAGATTTTGTAATCTGTTATAATATTTGAGAAAGTATATGTGTATATGTGCATATATCATCCTAGAAGGTTTCAAAGTGGAATTTATAACATATCACATAGTGGCATCTAGTGGAATTACACAGTAATTCAGACTTCTATACCAATCTTCATTTTTACTTAAAAATGAGAATATAGGGTCGGATTGGTGGCACATGCCTGTAATTCTAGCACTCTGGGAGGCTGAGGCAGGAGGATTGCTTGCGGCCAGGAGTTTGAGGTTACAGTAAGCTATGATAATGCCACTGTCAGTGAACTTCAGCCTGGGTGACAGAGCAAGATGCTGTCAGAAAAAATTTTAAAAAAGAAAAAGAGAATACAAAGGCAAACTAGTGTGACTAAAGAATATAATTAGAGTATTATTTGCCAACATGAAAAAATTACCTGGCTTTTTTGGGGGGTAGGGCCTCAAAGGAGTAAAAGGTAGAGGTTAATGACCGGAATATTCAAATCCACTTAAATGTTAAAACCAATGTGGCTTTTTATTATGATGACAGTTGCTACTAACTGCCTTATTTTCTTCTTCGTTCACCCTTAAGAACTATGTGTTTGCATGGGATCATATGGAAAATAAGATTCCTGCTATAATTTTGATATTTAGAGTCAACATTATTTATTGTGAAAGACCAGAATTTTGTGCAATTCTGTTTCATACACACACATGAATTTTCAGATAAATACCTTCTAGATGATAAGCTTTTCAGATGCAGTAATGAAGAATCCAGATCAAAGCAACCTGATTGTGTTTTTCTGTGAGGAACCTAAGGTCAAAATGATCATTTGTGATATTTAACAGAACTAATTTTTTTCTTAAATTGATAAAACACTTTTCAAATGAAAGTTAAGCATATCTGTAAAATAATAAAACTCCTATAATAGCTTACTTAAAATCATGCTTTTTATTAAATATTGTTCTTATGTTCTCATTTTATTAACAAGTATGGAAAAAAACAGATGATTAATAAAAACACTTTTAGTAGGTTTTGATTTTTTAAGAAGCAGAACCAGTGTTTCCAAAACCAAATCCCACATGGAATCCCAATAAAAAGTACCTGACACTGGGTGGTAAATATATATTTTTATATATACATACATATATATATATATATATGAATGAAATATATATAGAATTTTTACTTTATATACTACTGTATTGTTTTTTGGAGAAAAAAGCATTTCTAGCTTTAAAATAAAAAGGAAAAAAAGAATTAATAGAGATAAAAGCCTGACGTTCTGTCAGTTCTGCATCTCCTGTGCCCATTCCACATACTGCAACATTCCCAAGAACCCTAAGGCTTTAAAGAGAATAGGTTTGAAAAATACTATACTGGATTTTCAGCCAACACCATATACCAGATTACATTAAAGGCAAACCACCACAAGCTCACAATATCCTAAAACTAAAAATGAAAAACTCAAATGTAAATTAAAGCTAAAATCATATACAACATTCAAGTTAGGCAGATCTGTTTCTAGAATTTTTTTTTTTTTGAGACAGAGTCTCACTTTGTTGCCCAGGCTAGAGTGAGTGCCGTGGCGTCAGCCTGGCTCACAGCAACCTCAATCTCCGGGGCTCAGCGATCCTACTGCCTCAGCCTCCCGAGTAGCTGGGACTACAGGCATGCGCCACCATGCCCGGCTAATTTTTTGTATATATATTTTTAGTTGGTCAATTAATTTATTTCTATTTTTGGTAGAGACGGGGTCTCGCTCAGGCTGGTTTCGAACTCCTGACCTTGAGCAATCCGCCCGCCTCGGCCTCCCAAAGTGCTAGGATTACAGGCGTGAGCCACCACGCCCGGCTGTTTCTAGAATTAATATTAAATATGTGTAGTTATCTGACTCACTGGGCTAACACTGGTGACAGAAGAAACAGATGATATTGAAGTCTATACAACTTCACCATTTTTGAGAGTTGAACAAGTGTACCATGCTATTTATTGTAAACAGAACTTACTTTGAAATTAAAATTTTCTTTTTTCTTTTTTTATTTCAGCATATTATGGGGGTACAAATGTTAAGGTTACGTATATTGCCCATACCCCCCCCCCCCGAGTCAGAGCTTCAAGAGTGACCATCTCCCAAACGTTGCACATCTCACTCATTATGTTTGTATATACCCATCCTCTCCTTCCCCCTCCCACCTGCTCGACACCCGATAACTTTATTCCTATATATCCACTTAGGTGTTGATGCGTTAATACCAATTTGCTGGTGAGTACATGTGGTGCTGGTTTTTCCATTCTTGAGATACTTAGTAGAATGGGTTCCAGCTCTATCCAGGAAAATACAAGAGGTGCTATATCACCATTATTTCTTAAAGCTGAATGGTACTCCATGGTATACATACACCACATTTTATTAATCCACTCATGTATTGATGGGCACCTGGGTTGTTTCCACAACTTTGCAATTGTGAATTGTGCTGCTATAAACATTCAAGTGCAGGTGTCCCTTCTGTACGGTGTCATTTGATCTTTTGGGTAGATGCCCAGTAGTGGAATTGCTGGATCAAATGGTAGATCTACTTGTAAAATTTTCAATCTAAACTCTCATGTCAATTCTGGAAAGTTCTCTACCTTCATTTCTTCTAATAGAAGAAATTTTCCTTATTCTATCTAATTCTACTTTGAAAACTTCACTAGACTTACATTGAACATCTCATTCCATCTTCTACGACTCTTTCTTATTTTACAATCTCTTTTCCTTTCTGTGCTTCATTACAGGTGCCTTCTAAATATCTGTCTACCCATTCACTAAATCTCTTTTCAGCTGACTCTAGTGTATTGTTTAATTCACCTGTATGTGTATGCATGTGTATTTCAAATATAATATTATTCATGTCTAGAATTTCAATTTAGTTCCTTTTCAAATCCACATGTTCTTTCATCTCAATTCCCTATTTTGTCTTCATTTATCTCTTATAACATTTTAAATAGAATTATTTTTAAGTCTCATTCGGGTTTCTCTGATAACAGGGTTCCTACATGTGGATTCTCCCATTTCTTGCTCCTCCTGATTCTTTTAAGGTGCTTTGTAATTTTTTTCCTCTGAGGTCATCTTCAGGAAGAGGTATTTTCCATAAAAATAAATTCTTGGTGCCCTGGGTTATAGATGTGGGGTAGTTTCATGTTTACTCTGCTAGTCCTGAATGGATTTCACCAGTTCCAATTTAGTTGTTAAGGCTATTTCTTAGCTAGATATTTCTGAACCTCAGAAACAGCATAAATTTAGAACTCCTACGATGGGTAGCTGAGGTTTAGGTCCAATTTCTTTTGGGGGCTTCTTTTTCTTTCACCTACTCCAAAACCTCCTGATGTATTCTTGAGTAAATAGGTGCTTTTTGTTGTTGTTGCTTTCCCATTTATGGAAGGCCAGTCCTTCCTACTGCTGGTTTTATAAAGAATTTGGTTTTCAATCCTGGCTGAGATTGCTGGAGGCATGCAGCCTTTTTCTGTCCCCGGGAGGGACATTAAACTGTACTAGGAGGGACATAGCACTGTAAGGTTCAGATATCTTAGAGGGCCATAATTTGCACCAAGTTACTACTTGGAGATTTTACTTTTCTTGCCCTTTTACTATATTATGTATTTAGACATTGTTTTATTTCATCCAGAATTTCTGTTTGTAAAGGGAGAAGTGTCTTTCTGTATTAACTCAGTCCACCATATTGACCAGAAGTCTGTAGTGCTTTTTACACTAGCGTGATGCTGATAATTTTTTTCCTAATCACTTTGGCATTTTGAAAACAACTCATAGGTAGGTCAAACATTTGGAGTTTTAAAAACTGTTTCGACTTCAACGTCTCTAAAATAAACACCTGAGATCCAAGTTATACGTTTAAATTCAAGACTCCTTATTCAATACTTGTTTTTTGAACACATGCCAGATATCGTGTTCAAGTTGTTAAAAAACACATATATAACAACAAGAACTATCTTACGGAGGAGCAAATTATACAGGCTTGTAATTCTGCTACAAAATTTACTATTTACCTCAGGTTTAACTGAAATGGCAGCCATACCAGCTAACCACTGAGTGCTTAACATGTTCCAGGAGTGATACGAATCATTCTTACAACACTAAGGTAGACATTATCACCCCTATTTACAGCTGAGGAAACTGAGATTTTTAAGAGATGTTACTTATCTAAGATCATACAACTAGGGTGAAATCAGTGTGACTCTGAAGCGATGCATTTAACCACTGCACTCAGACCTATAAATCTATTTATATATGAGTGGGGAGATTACAATGTCTTAAAATAAGATGACTAAGTGAAGGGGTTCCAAGCCAAAAACAATCATGAATGTAATTCCCAGATGACCCAGTTGGTGACATCAGTAAGATACCAATCCATTTGACATCAAGTTTTCCCCCCCACATTTAGTAACAATTAAAATTTTAGGCAAAAGAATTTCAGAGAGATTTTATAATCATAATACAACGAATTTCATTTATTCACTTTGTTGTCTCTTTCCATATTATCACCAAGCTGTTAAATACGTTATCAAAAAATAAGGTGTTTTCCAACTGGAAATTTATTTTAAAGGTATCTAATTTTTTCAATTAAAATTTGAACAAAATTATTTGTAAACATTTCACATGTTTGCAAGTTCTAAGCATGAAATAAGAGAATAAACACTTACAGGACTTGAAAGAAGTGGCAATCCAGTACGAGGATGAAAGGCTCTGGTTGAGGTTCCATCCAAGGAATGAAAATTATGTTTTCGCCAGACATTTGAATGTTTCAGTGTAGTCCTCTGTTAGGAAAAGAATTATCTTTTGATGGTAATATTTAAATACTTAAAGGACTTGTACAGCTTTTAAATTTTTTATGTTAATTGCTAATACATTCTGAGGTTTTATATCCTTGGTGGTGAAGCTGACATACAGGTTGAGTATCCCTTGTCTGAAATCCTTGGGACCAGAAGTGTTTTGGACTTTGAATTTTCCTAGATTTTGGAATATTTGTATTATATATACTTACAGGTTGAGCATCCCAAGTCCAAAAATTTAAAATCCAAAATCGTCCAATGAGCATTTCCTTTGAGCATCACGTCAGCATACAAAAAGTTTCAGATTTTGAAGCATTTCAAATTTCAGATTTGGGATGCTCAACCTATATATCTTATGTCTACATGTTCTAAAGAAATGTTCTAAAGAAGTTATGTCCAAATATAATAATTGCCTTATGAACATATGGTCATGTCTGCTCAGAATCTAATATTTAGTAAGCTAATATTTGATTATATTAAACTTGTAAAAAAAAACTACTATGGTAGTCCCTTCTTATTCATGGGGGACATGTTCCATGAATCCCAGTGGATGCCTGAAACCATGGATAGTATAAAACACTATATATACCAAGTTGTTTTCCTACACATATATACTTATGATAAAGTTTAATTTGTAAATTAGACACAGTAAGAGATTAACAATAACTAATAAAATACAATTATAATATATTGTAATAAATGTTAAATATCTTATTGTACTGTACTCACCTATTTTCTGATCATAGTTGACCACAGATAACTAAAACCATGGAAAGCAAAACTGTGTATGAGGGAGGACTACTGTGCTCACAGGTAGAAAATATTAGTATAATGTTCTAAAACATAAAACTATGTCAATATCAAGAGTCATTTTCAGGCTGAGCGTCGTGGCTCACACCTGTAATCTTAGCACTTTGGGAGGCCGAGGCGGGCAGATCGTTTGAGCTCAGGAATTTGAGACCAGCCTGAGCAAGAGTGAGACCCCATCTCTATTAAAAAAATAGAAAGAAATTAATTGGACAACTAAAAATATATAGAAAAACAATTAGCTGGGCATGGTGGTGCATGCTTGTAGTTCCAGCTACTCAGAAGGCTGAGGCAGGAGGATTGCTTGAGCCCAGGAGTTTGAGGTTGCTGTGAGCTAGGCTGACGCCACCGCACTCTAGCCCAGACAATAGAGTGAGACTTTGTCTCAAAAAAGAGCAAGCCATTTTCAGAGAATATGATTTGGTGAGCATGATACAGAAATATGTAAGAAACACTGTGAATTTAAAAAAATATATAATGCAGTCACAGCACTATGTTTTGGATGTGATATAGAAACAGGCTTTTTTTTTTTAAGACAGAATCTCACTCTGTTGCCCTGAGTGCCCTGACATCAGCCTAGCTCACAGCAACCTCAAACTTCTGGACTGAAGCAATCCTCCTGCCTCAGCCTCCTGAGTAGCTGGGACTACAGGCGCACACCATGACACCCAGCTAATTTTTCTATTTTTAGTAGAGACGAGGTCTCGCTCTTGCTCAGGCTGGTCTCAAACTCCTCAGTTCAAGTGATCCTCCCTCCTTGGCCTCTCAGAGTGCTAGGATTATAGCCATGATCTACCATGCCAGGCTGAAAATAGGCTAATTCTTAAAATTTGGACAGCTTATACCCCAAGATCCGAAATTCATAACATACATACGAATAAAAATTAGAAAAGACTACACTGGGTCCTGGGTCTATCATTTACTAGCTTTATGACCTAGGGCAAGTTACTTCACCTCTCTAGCCCAAGGTCCTCATTTGGAAACTGGAGTTAATGAAAGCACCTAACCTCATAGGATAGTGAGAGGATTAGGCAGGTAAAAATGTGTAAAATATTGAAAAGAGTGTCTGGGAATATAGTAAATGATGTGTAACTATATTTAAAACAGTTATATTTAAAACAAATGCTGAAGAAACTAAACTTACTGGCCTGAAAAAAATATCATAGCTAGATTTAAGCCTCTCCCTTTTAAGTACCAGAAAGGATCATAAAAGGCTAATATTCTTAAGGTCAGGGTAGGTTTGGTGACATTTATAGTGTTAGGAAATTGGAAACTACCATTTGATTAAATCCTATGATAGTGATCTTCTGCAGGAAAATATAAACTGAAAATACCACAAAATTTAAAACTCTAATGTCTGGCAAAACTAATGTGAGTGATAAAGAAGATGATCCAAGGTCATGGAGATGTGGATCAAGGCAGTTAAGAAGTAGATTTCTATGCAATCAAGATATAAATTTGTGATAATGCTTAGAGAAATAAAGTAAATTTGAGCCTAATGATTTTTGCAAGTTAACACACTGACTGCCACATCAGAAAAAAAATGTCTTTCCTTGAGGCCATGGTGTTCTATTACGAAAACAGAATAAAAATTTTGAAAACAAAATGATCCTTTCTAATTTAATGAAAAAGTTATCTTTTATTGTTTTCTGTGTGTGAGTTATATGCAACTTGAAAAATAGTTCTCTAGGCTCCCAATGTGAGTTACATATGCTTCATGAGGCCCTAGGCTCAAAACTAGCATGAGTTAAATACAATTCACATGGCAGTTAATGTGTTAAAAAGTGGTTTGGTGGAAGTCAAATGAAATAAAACTAACTTAAATATTTTTATTTATATAGTGCAGTAAAACTTTACAAAATATTTAAAAATCTATCATTTGATTGTCACAATTTTAAGATAGGCAAAAAAAATGTATCAATCTTATTGTAAAATTCAAGAGACTGAGGTTTTTAGAAGTTATATGACTTATTCAGTGTCATTACAGAACTAAACTAAAGCCAAGACTGGAACTCAAGTGTTTTGACCAATAGCTTAGTGATTTCCCTATAGATATTTCTAAAATCATTGACTGATGGCACTACACAAGGGGCATGCCATTTGTACTAGGCCAGAGCTGCTAGCTAACACTACATTAAGCTAATAGGAGTTTCACTTCCAACTGTTTATTCTTCAGGAATTGTTCGTAAAGTATAGAAATAAACGCCAAAAAAGGGAACAAGAAGAATTCAAATGAACCAAGGACTTGTATAATAATCCACAAATTTGTACTTGATTATTATGAGGTAGTAGAAAAAACCCTGGATTACAAGAGACAGTGGGGGTTGCCAGTTGAGCCACTAAAGACTTGTACAGTTACTTAGCTACTTGTATGTCAGTTATTCTCTTTGAGTCTGAGCGTCCTCATAACTGTCCTATCTGTCCCACGGTGAAGTACCAAAAAGAACTAAGTATTCTATAATCATGTGATATAACTGATAGCAATATACCAACAACATATAAAATCAAAGTACTATTTTATACATATTATATAACATTCATTCTCCTGAATCCACAGACCAAATAGAAGAAAAATAGATATTTGAGATGGGTGGGTGCAGAGAGGAGAACAACGCTAAAAGACCTAAAGAACAGACCTAGTAGATCATGAAAAATTACTGCTATATTAGCAGTTAAAAAAATTAGAAGAAAAAAAAAAAACAAAACCCCAGATATGGCTCCCTATTTCTTAAACCACAAGGCATTTATTTCTTCAACTTACCTAGCACTTACTCTTAAGAGAATGGGTTATTTGCAAGGCTATTAATACTAGTCCTGTAGACGTTTACTATATCAGACTGTGGGTTCTATAGATAATGGGCACCTTGGACCTTTATCATGAGATCTCCTATAAACAAAACTTAAATCATAACAAAGAGTTAAGAATTATATTTGAAATATTAGATGTTACCTACCAACACCTCTGTATTTTTTAGCCGTTCACACGTAGACAAACAGTCTTTTGTACTTCTTTTCTGTGAACATTTTTGAGATTTTTCATCAGTTGAATCTTCTTTCTTATCCTGTTCACTTTTTAATTGAATTGACTTTTTGCATTTGAAACCTTCATTATCTTTATTGAGATAGTTTTCTATGCTATTAAGTTGAGTATTTTGCTCACATGTCTTAGGCTTTTTAGAGTCTTTATTTGAGCAGTTATTTTCATATTTGTTCAAATATTCAGACTTTTCCAACACAGTAACTTTCATTTTTGAGTCAATTTTTTTTGAATTATCAAATTGGAGATTGTCAAAGGATTCTGGGTTACAATTCTCATTTTTTATTATTTTTTCCGTATACTTATTTGTGCAAATCTGTTTGTCCATACTATTGCAATTTGAATACTGCTTATCAATTCCATTACTAATTTCTTGCTCCTTAAATCTGCTTGTCAAATCTATGTTATTTTCTTTGCAATGAGATATATTTGAAGAAGTCAATAAACTAGTAGCTTTGTTCTGTGTCTCCTGATATGTACTTTGGATGATTTCACTAGGATTGTTCTGACACTGATTTCTTATTTGAGGTCTCAAAGAACATTTTTCTTTACCACTGCATTGTAAAGAACTAACAGATTTATTAGGTATTAAGTTTTCCCCATCACTGCTGTCTCCTAACAAGGAAAATTTTGTATGAGAAATGGAAACAGAAGAATCATTCTTATTTTTCTTCAACAAATTTTTGTCTTCATATGAACTCCTAAACACTTTAGAAGGGACTGAAGTGGAGTCACGCATGTTGAATGACTGCCGGGGGACATGGGATGTTGTTGGATCAATGTGCTCCAAGTGTTGAGCAATTCTTGCAATAACATCTTGCCGCTCCTGGAGTAAAGATCCTATCAAAGGATTAGTCTCCCCAACAGACTGGCGAGAATAAAGACCATTAGAAACACAAGTTTCACTATGAGGAGTTTCTGGTTTTAGTCGAATTTTCCCTTCATTGGAGTCTTCTGGGGAAGTAATCTCTGGACTACCGAAAGAAATGGAGAATGTTTCTTTACATTTTCTCACATTTTCATTATCTTGTGAAACCCGGAAAAGTTTTGAATGAAGTGAACTAGACTCTTGAGTATTATATGGATGTCCAGAAACATGTGAACTGCTTGGATCACAATGAATCAAATGCTGGGCGATTCTTGCAATAACTTCTTGTCGCTCCTGAATTAAAGAACCTATTAAAGGGTTAGTCTCACCAACTGACTGCCAGGAACTCTGGCGGCTAGAGACACTGGAATCAATCATTGAAAATGATTTTAAAGTTCTCATTGATATTTCATGTGACTTTATATGTCCTATACTACTAAAGCTCAGAATATTGGCTTGAGATGTCCCATAGTCAGATTTATTGCCAGTGCCTGGACATAGTTTGACATTTTTGATGGCTGTAGTATATTCTGTAGCTGTGCCATTTTTTGCATGTAATACACTCTCGGGTGCCATGGTCCAAGTTTGTTTGCTACACAGACGCTGTGAACTATTTGTACTACACTGTTCTGCTTCATTAGAATTGCGGTCCTGATGGGTTTGATGTTCATGTTCTTGAATTCTTTTCTCATAAAGGCCAATATTAGTGTGAATACTACAGGTCAAAACTGGGTAATTAGATTGTCTGGGCAAGGACTGAACGCTGACTTTCAAGGCCACATTGTGAGAAACATTGGGAACAGGAAACACGTGCTCAATTGGAGTCTGTGAAAAATTCCACTGTAGATCTACATCAGCAGCACTGATTCTAGAATCACACAGAAAATATGAAATCAATGGATTATAAAAGTGATATCCCATATTCTTGTATGTTATTTTAAAAATGTAAAGCAGTCTTATATTGCTTTGCATTAACACTGAGGTTTACTTTTAGCTATTTTACCGCACATATCGTTCTGATAAAAACCAACATAAGTGGTATAATAGATTATGCTTGGAAGAGATGATCTTTTTTTTAAGAGCACTTGATCACTTAAACTTTAAAGCTCAAGAATGTTATAATTTTAAAATATTGGCAAAACATAAAAAAAAGGACTCTGTATTTACCAGTAAATAAATGGACTCAGCTAATTCTATTGTCCAAGGTGATTCAGAGACACTATCTCATGGCCATCTGCCTAAGAGGGCAATTATTTGTTTAGCCACCTGTATGTTTATATTTTTTAAGATACCAAAAATTAAGACTATCATTATAGAAATTTAGCAGCCTTGAAAATTTTTCCACTTTACAAAGCATTAAATCTATTGGTTCCCCAAAGTAAGCTTAAAAGTCCTCAGAATACTATTCTATACCAAATTTAATGCAACAAGGATAATTCATGTTGATTCAATCTAGATTTCTCTAACCTGTTCTAAGAAAAACCTCAGTAAATTTTATCTATTTATATTTAGAAATGAAGGAAATAATCTATTTAAAAGGTAAAATACCATTCTGTAGCTAACCAATGTGGTTGAATACACACTGTCCCTTTTTTTTGTTTGCCCTAGACATACCTGTAGAGAATATTTCGTGGAATAGCACCATGAGAGACACTCAGCCAAGCACTTAACTGAGAAAAAAACACAAATGAGCGGACAGCCAACAGAAGAGTCTTCTCCTCAATAAATCGATCACCACTCCTAAGGAAAATAACAAAGCATAATCTAAATGTCAGCAAGTGCAAAATGACTGAATTTTAGCAAGGTAGAAGCTGAAATAAACTTATCACTCAGGATGTGTGTGCTTTGAAGAGCACAGGAGTATACTTACCAATGTCACCTGAAGTCATAATTATTAAATATAAGTACTAAATATCTCAATTTTGCTACACAGAGGAATTCAAAGACATGATACATTAAAATAATTTATAGGAATTAATGAAAAATTTGATTTACTAGGAACAACTTCAAACTAAGTTCAACAACTTACTGTCGAGGAACTGGCTCCAAGGTCCATCTTTCTAATAACAATGCATCTTGCTTAATTGCAGGATCATTTAGATCAATTCCTTCTGTGGTGGGCCCATCATCGCTGTAACAGCAGTCTGGTAGTAGCATCACTTCCACCATGATTGGAAGATTATTCTTCCACAACAAAGTGACCTCAGACCTGGTTCGTCTGGCTTGGCGACACTTAGAGAAAATGAATATAAGCAAAATGTCTCAATAACCCACCTAATTTTGTATTTAAATTTGAAAATTGTAAAGTAGACATCTGTATTAGAAATGAGTCATCTCTTAGAGAGCTTTGTTCAGGCTTGGCTATTTAGGTTTCACTCATTCTAGAATGCAGGGATTAGTATTGAACATTTATGATATAAATTTTCTTGGGGAGGATATCTTTGCTCTATCTTATGAAATATTAAAAATTTATTTTCATTAAGCACTCAAAATAGACAAGATTTTTTAAAGTTTAAAATTTCAAGCTGGACGTGGTGGCTGACGCTCGTAGTCTCAGCTACTTGCGAGAATTGCTGGTGGGAGAATTGCTTGAGCCCAGGAGTTCAAAGTTGCAGTGAGCTGACAAGCTAAGTGCACTCTAGCCTGGGCAATGGAGCAAGAGCCAATCTCTTTAAAAAAAAAAAATTTTTTTTTGGACTACATTTGAGAAACTAATAAGTAGCAGAAAAATTCTTAATGCACATTATATACTACCTACCCAAATATTTTTAATAGTATTATATAAAAACATTAATATGCTAACAAAAACTATCCTCCCATTAAAAAAAAAAAGGAATCCAAGAGGGAAATTGGATAATGCAGGGAAAATAATCATAACATCAATTTGCTAAATGAATGAACACAAAATAGGCAAGCTAGGGCTGAGACTTTTAAAAATAAAAAATGCTAAATCATAAGAAAGTCTTTTTCTTTTTTTTTTTTTTTTTCTCTTGGATCCACAGATTTTACATAAGAAAGTCTTAAATGTAGCATATGAGAGGACAGGTATGAAGTTGACTACCTTCCTTCTGATCAGCAAAGCCACTTGCTGTACCTTCAAGAGTCTTGTTTAAGAGCCAAGATTATTAGCTATGGTCCAAGATTAGGATTTTTTTCCTTTATGGTTATGCTCAATTTTATAGTGAAATATGAAGATTATAATTGCAATGTAATAAAGATGACAGAATTTAAACTAGTTTATATAAAAGCTAAATAAAAAGTGTTCAACACAAGATTCTCACCTGGGCCAGCTTGTCACTACATTCATGTTTGGTAGTTACTGGGTAACAAGACTGTGCTGGAGGGCAATGGAAACTTTCCGTTCGACCTTTTATTGAACATTCAGGTGTTCGTCCTTCTGTTATTAGCAAAGCCAAAGAGACCAAGAACTCCTCTGCATCATATTCAAAATACTCATCTAGAGTATCTGGAAGAAAAAAAAAGAAGAAAAGTCCTCACTCTAATGTACTCTTAATAAAAACTCATCTGTTATGCCTAAAATAATTAATGTCATATTCCATATTCAAGTATATTCACTAACAAAGAGTGCAAAGAATAAAAAAGACATAATCAAAATATAGTAAACTCTTGATTCACAAAGTATGCAGAAGTAAAGAGATGATAGATAATTCCAAATTCCAGTTGAACAGCACTAATTAAAATTATGGCATAGTATTATTTTTATGTAAACTTCAGTTAAAATACCTAAGGTTTAGAAATACATTTATCATCCTATAGCTAATTAAATTTGGGTATATCAGTTACAATAATTTTTTCACACAAATCTTCACTAACAGTAAAAAGGGCTAAAAAGTCTTATGTCTTTTTTAGTGATTTTATTGCTATTATTACATATGAGAAAAAGATACAGGTCCAACTGCATGTTTCTCCGTCATCTCCCTTCCTTAACTGGTCCCTTGCTCTCACAGCAGTAATTCTGTGAACATTCTCAGCCAAGAGGTCCTCTCTGCCTTTGCTATACAAGTTTCAAAGGAAGAAATGCTGTAATTATCCAGCAGAAGGAGGTCTACTTTGCAATATATGGAGTGTAATATTTTGGCTATCATACAGTTCCAAATGATTTATAAGTTTTTTTCATGTAGCTGTCATAATTTAAGAATTTCTCACAAGTGCTTTAATTTTTTAAAGAGTTAATTGTAAAAATTAACTTGCTACACAAATTGAGCATTCATGCACAAATCTGCACAATATTCAATTTGTCGAACAGTCTTGAAAAAGTTGCCCGTATCTGTGCCAATTAAGCAATAAATATTTCAAGTGCCTACTGTATCTTATGAGGTGACAGTGAGACAGAGTTGCAATGTATATAGTTCCTGGTTTCTAAATCGTTACGGTTTAGAGATAATTTTAAAAACCGAACAGTACAGCATGGAATGGATCAAAAGAAAATGCAATTTGAATAGAGAATTTATGTAGAAAGTGTACAAAAGGAAGGACTGGAGCCAGATTATGAATAGTCTTGAAGGGTATAATAAAGAGTGCCTATTTCTAGTGTCGGGAAGACTTAGCAGGAAAGGAAAGAGCCTTGAGAGTAAATTTTACTGAAGTGATATTTTAAGGCCTGTTTGGAAAAGTTTCTCTAAAGTGACTATTGCAACATATAAAAATGACAGCCAACACAGTAACTTATTAATGTCAGGCATTGTCAGTTTTAAGTATGTTCTATACATCAACTCATTTAATCCTCAGAGTAGCTCTAGAAAATGAGAACTATTATGTCCATTTATAGACAACTGAAGCATGAAGAGGTTAAGTAACTTGCCCATGATCAGTCAGCTAGGAAGTAGCAAAGTTGAATTTTGAACCTGAATAGTCTGCCTCCAGAATCTGGCTTTTAGTTCTCGTCTTAGGCAATTCATCCAGTTTACCATACATCCCCAACAAAGTTAATAACACATGGATCCTACACTTTAACAATTCTCAGACTACTAAACAATTAAATACACATTACAATGAGCTGGTACAGAGGTTAGCAGTGTGCTGTAAGAGCACAGACGACTGTCAGCCATAGTTGGGGTACATGGCGGAGGATGGTGGTGAAGAAAGCTTCCATAGTAGTGATTTAGGGAAAGTTACTTAATATTTTCCTCTGTTAAATGAAAGTAACCCCTGCCTAGTTACCTGAAAGAGCTTTAGGAAGATCAGGTAGTACAAGGCTTTAACTCTCGAGACTGTCAAGAGCAAACACTGACAGCCTACTTTAAACTGTATGACCACATTTCCCTTTTGCACCAAAGCCCAACTGGATACCTAACCCACATGGGGTTTCTCAGGACAATGGAATTAGGATTCAGAGATGTTAGTTGGTCCCTGCCTGCTATGACTAGAACTGAGGTAATACACACTCAGGAGTTACACAGTGGCCCTAGGCTGCCACAAGAATGGAAGAGCAAAAAGGAAACAAGCTATGACATGAATGAGAGAGATAAGAGACCTTATGGCTACAGAAAGCCAGAAGAAAAGTAGTTGCCTGATTCCTGACATTGTTTCAGTCCCTCATGAGGCCTTTTGAGAATGAACTCTGTATTCTTACTTATCAATTTCTTTAAGCTACTTGAGTGAGTTATTTGTAATCAAAAGCACCTCAACTACTAGGTGAAATGTATTGTTTGGAAATCAGAGAAGTTACTCATCAAAAATAGAAAACACTTGATACTCTGTGAATAAAAATTATTGAGTGCTGTGGGCTTAAGTGTCCACCCCCCCAAACCCACCAATTTAAATGTTAAAGTCCTAATCCCCAATATGACTCTATTTGGAGATAAGACTTTTACCTAGGAGATAGGGTTACATGAGATCATAAAAATGAGGCCTTAATCTGATTGAACTGGGGCTTTAAAAGAGGAAGCGGTCTCCTCTCTTTCTCCCTCCTCCTCGCATAACAAAGGCCACATGAGCACATAGGGAGAGGGCAGCTGTCTACAAGCCAGGAAGAGTCCTCACCAGGACCTGACTATGTGAGCATCCTAAGCTTGGACTTCCAGCCTTCAAACGTGTGAGAAAATAAATTTCTGTTGTTTAAGCCACCAAAATCTATGGTATTTTATGGTAGCCCAATCAGATTAATACATTGAGGAAAATAAAACTTTTCCAAACTGTGATTTTTTTCAAAATTTTAAATAACATTTTTATAATTAAAGGTTACATATTTACTGAGAAATTTATAAAATGTAGAGAATAAAGATAAATAAAAAACTCAATCTCATTATTCAGAGATACCTATTATTAGCCTTACAGTCTTGTTTTAAACATGTATACAACATTTCAAACAAATATAGTTTCACACCACATAGCTTTTAATCTTATTTTCTCATGGAATATTACATAGTCTACGTCTTCTGGTATCATTAAGCAGTCTTTAAAGATGTGAAATTGGCCGGGTGCAGTGGCTCGCACCTGTAATCCTAGCACTCTGGGAGGCTGAGGCGGGTGGATTGCTCGAGGTCAGGAGTTCAAAACCAGCCTGAGCAAGAGCGAGACCCCGTCTCTACTATAAATAGAAAGAAATTAATTGGCCAACTAATATATATAGAAAAAATTAGCCGGGCATGGTGGCGCATGCCTGTAGTCCCAGCTACTCGGGAGGCTGAGGCAGCAGGATCGCTTGAGCCCATGAGTTTGAGGTTGCTGTGAGCTAGGCTGATGCCATGGCACTCACTCTAGCCTGGGCAACAAAGTGAGACTCTGTCTCAAAAAATAAATAAATAAATAGATGTGAAATTCACTTTGTAAGAGAATCCATAATTCTTTGAGATCCACATCTATAGCCCTTTCTATGCAATATGCAATTGGCTGACCACCTCTGCATCATTGCCTTGGGATCAACTATGACTCACCTTCAGGCCTCTAACCAGAGCACCAATTGGTATGATCTCCCGAATACTGTATACCAAAGCCTGGCTAAAAACTCATCATTTCTTTCATCAAACTGTCTTCACTCTTTAACAAGGGTAGCTCTAAAAACTGCCTTTTAAACACTACCACTGAACACGTCGTAAAAGAACATCTGAGTACTTCTGCTGCTGAGAGAAATACACCAGAGAATTATACCTAGAAAACTACCAGGTGAGATTAGGAAAGGACATACAAAGTGGGCATGGGAATGGGAAGAGTGCCATGAGAGACACATACAGAGAGGTACAGATATCACCAGGACTCCACGACTTGTTATCTTTATGCCTGCAAAACTATAATATATCTCCAAAGTCCCTAGTGGCTAATATACTAGGAATCATCAAGTTTAAATTGACAAAAACTACACTGTTATGAAAAAGTACTTTTAGACTGGGCATGGTGGCTCACACCTGTTACCCAGCACTTTGGGAGGCTGAGGCAGGAGCATCATTTCAGGACTGCTTGAGGCCAGGAGTTTGAGACCAGCCTGGGCAACATAGCAAGACCTCTATTACTGCAAAAAATTAAAAATTTAGTCAGGTGTTCTGATACACACCTGTAGTCCTAGCTACTTGGGAGGCTGAGGCACAAGGATCACTTGAGCCTGAGAGTTTGAGGTTACCATGAGCCATGATTGTGCCACTGCACTCCAGCCTAGACAACAGAGCAAGACCCATGTCTAAATGAATAATTAATTTTAAAAAATCAATTTTGAATGTATTTTTGACTAAAATTTTGTTGCTTTGGTCATTATTTCCCCAGACTGTATAAATTAAACAAACTATAAAACCATGGTTAGAGTTAACAGTTCCTTGGATGATGAACTTAGCAAGAGACTTAAATATGTAATTGACAAATTTGAAACAAAGATTAGAGATAACAGTATTAAATAGTTATCTGTTAATTACCTATGTAACTACTACATAAATATTGCAAAGAATACTATGGATTCTACGATGGTATTGTGAAGCACATAAAATACTACCTAAGTGCAAGTGACTAGATGATGACAACTTTTAGGAATTTGTCCTGAAAAATACCTGCATTTTAACAAATGAGAATATTCAATCATTGTAGTCATCAGAAAAGTTACATGATTAAAATATTTATAATGTCAACATCTAAAATGCCAGAGAGCACAGTTTACTGAAGTAAGAAATATGACTAATAACTGGGAAATATCATGTCAGGCTAAGGAGAATTCAACAGACATAACTTGATATTTTGAAGACGTAGCTTATGCTAGAAATAAAGTTTGATTTTAGAACATCTGAAAACAGTACACTTTTACAAAGACAAAAAATGTTTCAAATCTAGACAAATACGGACTGCTAGACTTACCTTCTAGTTACATATTTTATCATGGAAGAAATATATTTGATCTAATATGAAATACTGAAGATAACAGATATGATGTTATCAATTTTCACAGGCTATGAAGGACAGACCACTGGACACTGGTGATTAATCAATAAAAACATAGTTTGGTGAGGCCTCTAAGATCTCAATGAGAACTGTGCTTGTACCGGAGTCTGACTGGGAGTATGGTCAGAGACACTGCTCTTTAGAGGCATGCTCTTTTGGCTCTTTTAGCCAACTTCTTAAAATTCCCAATCTGTTCTGTCCAACAAGAAAAGCAAGCTATTTAGCCACTGGGAAAACTTAGAACGATTGGAATAATCTATACATGAAATGGACTAACTTGGGAAGTAAATTCTTTGTAACTCAATGTTTTAGGAGAGGCTGATAAACACTTGCCAGGGCATGCTTGAAGAGATTTATACATCAAGTGGGTAGTTGAATTAGACTTGTGCTCAGAGTTTTTTTTAACCCTGAGAGTCTATGAATCTCTGCCATTCAGAAGAAGCTCAGAAAATCCTGAGGAGAGACCAGAACCACTACCTCCTTCTTGAGAGGCCCCAACCAGGATTGCTAATGTCACTAGACCTTTGATTTAGAAGAAAAACCCAGAATAGTTCAGAGTTCTGTCTAAAGGGAATGGAAGAAGAGAGTCTTTCACATAGCTAGGTTGCTATATACTGTTTATTTCTATATCCTGTCAAGGTAGCAGAAAGACTCCAGGCCTCTCATCTCATGGATTACAATGGGAAAAGAGGCCTGGGAACAACCTGGGGGACTGCTAATAAGAAAGTTTATCTAAAAATAATGTTCTTGTAAATTAATGAAGGACAATCTGGTAATATAAGAATTCTCCTTCTATGAATTTATCCATAGGAAACAACAGAACAAGTACACTAAGCCAAATGTTCAAGGATATTTATGAAAATGTTCATGCTAGTTAAAAAAAAAACTGGAATCAACTTAAATGTTCAATATGGGACTAGACTAGTTAAATATACTGTGGTACAGTTATATCTAAAATAATTACATAGATCTACTTTTGACAAGGAAGTATGTCTACAATGTAAGTGAAAACAAGATGTTCAAAAAGAAAGTTATGATCATGTGTTTGTGGAATCACATGAGCACACATATGCATAGAAAGACATACATATATAAAAATATTACAGTCCTATAAAGGAAATACACACGTATACTAAATTGTAAATAAATCATTATTCTCTCACTGGCATTAGATAAACAACTCCTAACTGAAAAATAATGTATAATAAATAAAAGCATTGCCCAGCGTCATGTATTTTTAATTAATTAGAGGTATTACTTTTTGTAACCCCTACTATCTCTTAAAGTAGGTTATGATTTGGTTACTTAATACTGTCATTTGTATTGGCAGACACACAAAGATAAAAGTATACTGGTTCTGGTGTTGAGAAATTAGAACTGAGCAGTTTGAAACACCTTTTCCCCTTCTTTTTTTCCTGATTTTTAAAAACAAGCTTTTAAAAAATTAGGTAAGAACTAGAATCTCATGCTTTTAATTGCAAGAAATATGGATATGAGTCAAGACACCTGAGAATGGATAGTAAGATTTAGTTGAAGAGGTTATGGTCAAAGAATTGGACTCAGTCATGAACTGGGTGTTATCTGAGGAAAAGTAGAAAGAATTGGGCTCTCAGTTAATTTAACTATTATTTAGGTAATAAAATTTCATTTATTCAACAAATGTTTATTATAAAACTACCATGTGTCAGGTGCATTCATAAACACTGGGACTTGGAGCTTATATTCTAATGGTGGCAGAGAAAAGCAAAATAAAATAAAATACTGGATGCTAAATGCTATGCCATAATTATAAAAAGGGTGATATGAGAACAATTATGTGAATGCTTTATAACAAGGGGTCAGGGAGGGCTTTTCTAGGCAGATAACATTTAAACTGAGATCTGAATGACAAGAAGCTAGCCATTCAAAAATTAGGAGAAAGGCCGGGCGCAGTGGCTCACGCCTGTAATCCTAGCACTTTGGGAGTCTGAGACGGGCGGATTGCTCGAGGTCAGGAGTTCAAAACCAGCCTGAGCAAGAGTGAGATCCCATCTCTACTATAAATAGAAAGAAATTAATTGCAACTACTATATCACTCCCGAGAAAACAAAACTTGGAGCGGGCATGGTGGCGAATGCCTGTAGTCCCAGCTACTCGGGAGGCTGAGGCAGCAGGATCACTTGAGCCCAGGAGTTTGAGGTTGCTGTGAGCCAGGCTGACACTACGGCACTCACTGTAACCTGGGCAATAAAGTGAGACTCTGTCTCAAAAAAAAAAAAAAAAATTAGGAGAAAGAACATGTTTGAGCAGTGGCTAAGGTGGTAATGAATGGGTCATGATGCAGGAACTAAAAGATGAGTGAGACTGGGATTACAGTGTGGGAAAAGAGAAAGCTGAAGGAGATGAATTTTAGAAAGGTGGTCAGGGTCAGGGACTAGATCATATAGAATTTTAAAGTTAAGGTGAGGAGTTTAGATTTTACCTAAATGCAATGGAAATCCATTGGAGGGTTTTAACTACCGAAAGGACACAATCTGATCTCCTTTTAAAATGACCACTCTGGCTTCTATGGCAATAGAAGAACAAGGAAGGAGGGGCAGAGCAAGGCAGCCAACCATGGGAGCAAGAAACCTCCCATGATCATCCTTCCGCATGAACACAATTCAGTAACAATCAGCATGTGCAAGCATCTTCAGAAGAACCAAAAATCAGGTAAGCAATCATACTACCTAGTTTTAACATTACATCAAGGAAAGAGAAGAAAAGAGTCTTTCCAAAGGAGAGAGAATCTGTGTGCCTTGGGGGACGAGAGAG